GAGGAGGAGGAGGAAGAGGAGGAAGAGGAGGAAGAGGAGGAAGAGGAGGAAGAAGAAGACAAATATGAGACAGCGTGAGGATAACTATTTGCCACACACACACAGGGGGCTGCTAGCACAAGGCCCTAAAAACAACGCCAAGCGGCCAACAACAATCAGCACTCCCAGAGTCAGATCCCTTTAACGACACATTTGTATTTATGCAATCACAGATCCCTGCTTGAAGATGAGCAACGAGACACTGCCAAAATCATCTCGCTTCCCTTCCCAGCCCCCTGCACAGCCAGAGGTTGGAAATTCCACGTTCCTCGAACTGGGGGCACAGGGAGTCTCGTCCACATCGCAAAAAAAACGGTGAAAACTTCTCCGCGGTGGCGACATCGACTTATCGACCCTGGAGAGAGATGTTGACTACCTCGCCTGGCACGTAGGAGGTCGTGGGTTCGAACCCGATCCTGACGCCTGCTGCTGTATATTTGGAGTCTGCGTCTCTCTCTCCATCATCATCATCACTGTGGCTAGGAGATGTTAACTACCTCGCCTGCTATACAGGTCATGATTCGATCCAGACCCTGATGCCTGCTGTATATTTGGAGTCTGCGTCTCTCATCATCATCACGGTGGCTAGGAGATGTTAACTACCTCGCCTGGTATACAGGAGGTCGTGGGTTCGACCCCGACTCTGACGCCTGCTGTATATTTAGAGTCTGCGTCTCTCTCATCATCATCACGGTGGCTAGGAGATGTTAACTACCTCGCCTGGTATACAGGAGGTCTCCCCGTGGTCACGTAGATTTTTCTCCAGGTCCTCCAGTTTCCCCCCCCCCCCCACATTTAGAGTATTTTATATATCGTCATATTTCCACATGACGATAAGCTACTTCGTTGGTATATCATTTGTGATAGAAAGTTCGCTTATGAAAAATAAGCTAATAGCTAAGTGGGCCTTAGCGGGAAAAGATATAACATTGCTTAGTTTTATTAGAAAATATTTTTTCAAGTGATTTGTTTACCTTTCCTATACGTTTCACTCCTATCGTGTCTTAGTATTGTTTATTGTTGCAACGTTCTGACCCGTGCCCCTACTGGGAATCTGTGAAAAAAGAGCTTTACAGCTCATCGGATTCCTCCTACAGTTTAAATATTCTGAACTCCCAAACAGGCTTTGAACATGATCTTGGTTCTTTCGGTAAAGTCACCACGTAGAAGGGAAACAATAAAATAATAAAAATATAAAACAATACAATTCTCACGACGTTTCGACTGCAACACAAGCAATCATCATCACAAGCAATCATCATCATCATCATCAGGTGCACCTAATGGTGCACCTGATGATGATGATTGTTTGTGTTGCAGTCGAAACGTCGTGAGAATTTTATCGTTTTATATTTTTATTATTTTATTGTTTCCCTTCTACGCGGTGACTTTTTCCGAAAGGACCAAGAATATGAATCCCTGCAGTAACGAAAGCTTCAAATCATGCTTTGAACATGCAACCTCCCGCTCGGCGGGAGGCTCGGGCCACGTGGGCAAATCCGGGCTAAAAAAATATTAAAAGGCTGCAGCCCTGAAGAAAAACAAAAATTCTCACCCGTACCATTTCCAGAGAGGGCATTCAATATACGAATAAATCATGCCAGCTTGTAGCGGGGAAGCCGCCACCACTCGACGTTGGCGACGTTCATGCCGTGCGGCAACGGGGACCTTTCTGGGCAATGCCGCGGGGGGCTTTCCAGTCGTGAATAATGAATGAATTGGGAATCGTCGATCAAGGGCGATCGGACGCATCCGTCAGGGTCTTAATTAAAAGCGTATTTGTTTTGAGACCTGGGAAAAATAGGCAATCCTGGAATGAATATGACATCGTGGTCAAGAAAATGATGACTTGCAATGACAAAGATCCACCGCGTAGCCTTTAACAGGCCGTTGGGGCAAGTGCTGTCAGCGAGCACCTATATACGAAGGCCGGCACGGCACACCAGGGGGTTGGTGGCCAACACCACGCCCGGCCGCCTTTGTCTCCCTAGTGCCGATGCTTTTTGCGCACTGCACCGGGAACTCAAATGAGGCTGCGTCAACTACCACGCGCACAATCACAAGCGACAAAGACAAAGATCCACCGCGTAGCCTTTAACAGGCCGTTGGGGCAAGTGCTGTTAGCGAACACCTCGGAAGGCCGGCACGGCACACGAGGGGGGTGGGGTGGCCAGCACCACGGCCGGCCGCCTTTGTCTCCCCAGTGACGATGATTACACACCGCACCAGGTACTCATTTGAGGCCGAGTCGACCTAGGGGAGGCCTAGAAGCGTTTCAGACAATCGTCACCGGTGTTCGCCGTGAGTGGGAATCGAACCCGGGTGGCCAGGTTCGTAGCGAAGCGTAGCGCTAACCTGCTGCACTACCGCACACACACACAGACACTCAGCCCCAAATACCCGGAAATCCACACGTACTCACGGACACGCACACACCCTCTCTGCTTATCTGTTTCTCCGATTTAGTTCAGACCGACTTTGCCACATATCTCACCTCGGCACATTGTGCGATTGGTTGGATTTAAATTGCAAACCTTACACTTGCGAATGCTCCCATTTGAGCACGACCGCCTGCTTTGGCGAACGCCATCTTTTAAAGTTCGCCGGTACAGTATCGACGGCCTGAGATCGAATTCAAGTCCATCGCTCTTCCCCGCCAGACGTTGACAAAAGCCGCCGTCGAAAAAGGGATAATGCGTAGGGGGTGCAGGCTGGATTCCTGGAGGAATCCGATGAGCTATAAAGCTCCTTTTTTTCACAGATGTCCAGTCAGGGGCACGGGCGTCACATCGTCACAAACAACAAACGACGCGACGGATATAGCAGCACACAGAGAGCCGTGCAGCTACGAACCGATGTCTTCTGGGGGTTCGGGAAAAAAAAAACAAGGAATTTCGGTGTCAAGCGAAGCAATGGCACCTCTCCCATCAGAAAGAAGTTCAACATACTTTGACGGACAGCAGGAAGGCACGACTCGCATCCGTACGCCACGCGTGCATGTCACGCGACCACCACATTTGCACGTGTGACGCGCTCAGCCTTGTATAGACCCCCCCCAACTCAAGAGATTTAACAGCATCCCAAATGTGTGCTGCTGGTGCTGTTCGGAAACGGCAGGAAGGCACGCATGCCATCCACACGCCACGCGTGCATGTCATGTGACCACCACATTGCAAGCACGATGCTCTCAGCCTTGTTTAGAACGCCAACTCAAGAGATTTAACGGCACGTGCCTATCGTGACTTAAAAGCTTTCGTGACTGCAGGAATTCATATTCTTTGGGTCTTTCGGCAACGTCGCGTAGATAGGTTAAAAAAATAACTAATAAAATAAAATAAACTACGACGTTTCGATCGCAACACAAGCGATCGTCATCAGGAGAAAGAAAGGGGGGGAGGGGGAAAGCCATTAAAGGCAGGTTAAATTTCGATTTAAAGCTTTCGTGACTGCAAGGATTCATCTTCTTTGGTTCTTTCGGTAAAGTCACCACCACGTAGAATGAGAATAAAATAATACATTATTTTATTCTCATTCTACGTGGTGACTTTACCGAAAGAACCAAAGAAGATAAAGGCAAGGTTGTTTTGAAGGCTTAAAATGGGTCGTAGCCCAGGCGTCCTGGTATCAGAACGACGCGGGCGGGGCACAAGTTCCCTGGAACCTGCGAAAGCGCAGACGGCGATGTTCACGTGAAATCGGAATCTGGAGAGGAGGAGCCGCAAGAGACGTGGAGAAATTAACAAACTTGCGGTGCACGCCCAAGGCAGCAGGGGCGACGCCGCAGGAACTGGAATTGCTCATCCCCATCTTTGGTGAAGTAAAACTAGCGTCGGAAGGTGACAGGATGGAAACGTCACAGCCAGTTATGACTTAAACTGGTTGATGACGTCCTTCCAATGATTGCTGAGTTTGTACCCATCCTCTCGGTTGAAATTGTGTCTGTAAATATGGATGGCTTCATGAACGAATCTGTGTTGATAGCCAGTGGGCTTGCAAAGTACCATCGTCTTAGAGAAAGCAATTTCGTGTTAGCCAACCGCATTGAAACAATGATCAGCCACGGCTGAAGTGTTCGTCTTCCCGTGTTTCAAATCTGCCTTATGCTCACGAACACGGTCCGAGACATGTCGCTTAGTTTCCCCAATCTAACTGCTGCCGCAGATACAGCATCGTTTGTAGACGCCGGGGTATTTCATGTCAGGGATCTTATCCTTCACAGATGGGATCAGATCACAAATTTTATGCACTGTGTTAAATCCAACCCGGGATTTCGTATTTGCTCATGATTTTGGAAATATTTGTGGTGACCCCTGCTATGTATGGCAAGGTGATGGTTTTGATTGGGTCATCAGATGGCTCTTTCCCAACGGTTGGGATGACAGCTTTACGGATTGTGTAGTCCGAATATCAATTCGCCTTGAGAGCTTGGTGCACGTGTTTCAGTTCACTGGCTAGGTGATGATGGTCGGAGATACATCGAGCTCTATGGTGTAGAGGTTTGATGAGGGAATCCTTCGGGGATGGATGGTGGTGGGAGTCAGGTTTTAGGTAGACATCAGTATGCGTTGCTTTCCTGCAGACAGTGTCCCATTGAGCCATCTGGTCTCTTTTCGATTAGACCATCCAAGAATGGACGTGTGCTGCTGCCGCTGCTGCTCACGGACAGCAGGAATGCACTACCGCCATCCGTACGCCACGTGTGCATGTCATGTGACCACCGCACGTGCAATTTTTTTCGCGAGTGGCTGGGTGACAAGTGAGCGAGTGGGCGAATGACTGAGCGAGGGAGCGCACTGTGTTGCGGTCGACCGAGTCCTCGACACGGGAGGAGGAGCCGACGTGCGACTTTTGGCGTCGAGGGTTAACCATCGCAGCCGTAAGCGGAGGGAAGAGGAGGCGACCGCCCACGAGCGAGCGAGCGAGCGAGTCGATTCCTGAGCGCCGTCCTCACTCTCACTCACCCAGCACTTGCTGCTGCTGCTGCTGGTTCTGGGCCCAGGGAAGGCTCGGGACGCCCGCCGCGGCCGCCGCGGCCACCGCCGTCGTCGGGTGGCCCCAGGGAGGGTAGGGCAGGCCGCCAGCGGACGGCGTCGTGGGAGGGGCGGCCTGAGGGGCGCCCGACGCCGACGCCGTCGCCGCCGCCGCTGCCGTGCCGCCGGCGCCGCCGCCGGCACCGCGCGTCTGCTGCGCCTGCAGCAGGGTGAGGTGGTAGGCGACCGCGGCCGCCTGCTGCGCGAGCAGCCGCGGGTCAACGGCCACGCGGTTGGGCCAGGGCTGTGTGCGCCAGGCGCGGTGCACGCGCGGGGGGGGGGGGGAAGGGGAGGGGGTGGGGTTGGGCAACAGCAACCATCAGCATCGTCACTGTCGCCATCGTCACCATCGTTACCAATCGTCATCATCGCCATCATTACCATCGTCATCGTTAACATCGTCATCGTTACCATCGTCACCATCATTACAATCGTCGTCATCATCACCATCATTACCATCGTTATCGTTATCATCATCGTCGTCGTCACCGTCTTTACCATCGTCACCATCGTTACAATCGTCATCATCACCATCATAACCATCGTCATCGTTAACATCGTCATCGTCACCATCGTCACAATCGTCATCGTCATCATCACCATCATTACCATCGTCATCGTTAACATCGTCATCGTTACCATCGTCACCATCGTTACAATCGTCATCGTCATCATCACCATCATTACCATCGTTATTGTCATCACAATCATCGTTACCATCGTCGCCATGGTCACCATGGTCACCATCGGCGTCATCAGTGCTCACGGGTTACACCGCGCATCCCGTGCGGTAACATCTCGGGGCACCATGCGGCGGGGTGCTCCCCCAGTGGCAGCTGTCGCTACGTGGCACAAGCACTATTTTTTACGAGGAAACAATTTTTTTGTATTTTACCAGGTAAGGCCCACTGAGCTTTGTAGTAGCTCTTTTTCAGAAGCGACCTGGCTAACAAATGATAGCCCAACGAAGTGGCTTATCATCTGGAAACTTATAGCAGCCAAATACTCTAAGCGCGTGTTACTAATGTGAAGGGGAAAAACCGGAGGACCCGGAGAAAATTCCACGTGACCACGGAGACAGAGAGACACGCAAACTCCAAATATACAGCAGGCGTCAGGGTGGGGATCAAATCCAAGATCTCCTGCATACCAGGCGAGGTAGTTAACATCTCCTAGCCACCGTGGCGTACACCAGAGAGAGACAGACAGAGGGAGACACGCCGACTATCAATATACAGCAGGTGTCAGGGTCGGGATGGAACCCACGATCTCCTGCACACCAGGCGAGGTAGTTAACATCTCAAAGCCACCGCGATGATGATGAGAGAGAGACACGCAAACTCCAAATATACAGCAGGCGTCAGGGTCGGGGAGGAATCCACGACCTCCTATATACCGGGCGAGGTAGTTAACATCTCCTAGCCACCGTGATGATGAGAGAGACACGCAAACTCCAAATCTACAGCAGATATCGGCAGGGTCGGGGATTAAACCCACGACCTCCTGCACACCAGGCGAGGTAGTAAACATCTCCTAGCCACCGTGGCACCCACAAAAGAAAGCAGTACCGGCCTGCGAGTGGGCATAAGGCTGCCCGGTTCAGGGCAGCTGGGGCGACTGCACCACCCACGGCTTAGGGCATGGATTATTTATTATAATCATTCGCATTCTTGACTACACGTGAAAGCCTAACCGAGTCTGAGGAATAATTTTCAGGAGGGTCCTGCTAAGTTTTTGCAGTAGGTGGCGAGATGTTAAGTAACCTCGCCTAGTATACAGGAGGTCGTGGATTCGATCCCGACCCTGACGCCTGCTGTATAGTTAGAGTTTGCATGTCTCTCTCGTCATCATCATCATCACGGTGGCTAGGAGATGTTAACTACCTCGCCTGGTGTGCAGGAGGTCGTGGGTTCGATCCCGACCCTGACGCCTGCTGCTGTATATTTAGAGTTTGCGTGTCTCACTCCACATAGTCGCGTGAATTTTTTCCGGGTCTTTTGGTTTTTCCCTCCACACTTAGAATCGACGTCACCACGCATTTTTGAGTATGTGCTTTAAATTGCACGCGATGATAACCAACTTCGTTGAGCTATCAGTTGTGATGGCTTCTGAATAAGAGCTGCATAGCTATTTTTCTATCGGCAAGCCGACCCCCCAGTGTGGTTTGTCACCCCACCCCCCACCCCCACCCGCCCGCCCGCCCGTACGTACCGACACGGGCATGGGCAGCAGGAAGCCCGGCGGGTACCCAGAGTGCTGGGGCATGCACAGCAAGCTGCCCGCCCCTCCCTGCGCCTCCAGACGCTGCAGGGGGCTCGGGGGGCCCTCGGGAGTACCCCCCAACTGCTGGGAGGGCGGCTGGGGCCCCTGAGCGAGCGGGGAGGCCGTGGGGAGGGCCCCGGCGGCGGTGTTGGCGGCGGCGTTGGCGGCGGCGTTTGCGGCGGCGTTGGCGGCGTTGGCGCGCGATCCTCCGGGAGGGCTCGGCTGACCTGCGGCGGCGGCAGACGCGAAGACGAAGGGAACGGCCGACGAGGGAGCGGATTATGAATGCGCGAAGTCTGATTGGCTTAGCGGGAAACGCGGCCTAGCGGATAGCGAGGCCTAGCGGGTAGCACGGCCTAGGGGATAGCGTGGCCTAGCGGAAGCGAGGCCTAGGGGATAGCGAGGCCTAGCGGGTAGCGAGGCCTAGCGGGTAGCGAGGCCTAGCGGGTAGCGCCGCCTAGCGGATAGCGAGGCCTAGCGGGTAGCGAGGCCTAGCGGGTAGCGCCGCCTAGCGGGTAGCGAGGCCTAGCGGGTAGCGAGGCCTAGCGGGTAGCGAGGCCTAGCGGGTAGCGAGGCCTAGCGGATAGCGAGGCCTAGCGGGTAGCGCGGCCTAGCGGATAGCGAGGCCTAGCGGATAGCGAGGCCTAGCGTGTAGCGAGGCCTAGCGAATAGCGAGGCCTAGCGGGTAGCGAGGCCTAGCGGATAGCAAGGCCTAGCGGATAGCGAGGCCTAGCGGGTAGCGCCGCCTAGCGGATAGCGAGGCCTAGCGGATAGCGCCGCCTAGCGGAGAGCGAGGCCTAGCGTGTAGTGAGGCCTAGCGGGTATCGAGGCCTAGCGGGAAGCGCCACCTAGCGGGTAGCGAGGCCTAGCGGGTATCGAGGCCTAGCGGGTAGCGCCGCCTAGCGGAGAGCGAGGCCTAGCGTGTAGTGAGGCCTAGCGGGTATCGAGGCCTAGCGGGAAGCGCCACCTAGCGGGTAGCGAGGCCTAGCGGGTATCGAGGCCTAGCGGGTAGCGCCGCCTAGCGGGAAGCGCCACCTAGCGGGTAGCGCGGCCTAGCGGGAAGCGAGGCCTAGCGGATAGCGAGGCCTAGCAGGTAGCGAGGCCTAGCGGGTAGCGAGGCCAAGCGGGTAGCGAGGCCTAGCGGGTAGCGAGGCCTAGCGGGTAGAGTGGGCCAGCTGTAGCGCGCTCGCCGCTCGTTGCCAGAGGTTGGCGGGTCCGAATCCGGCAGGCCGGCCTGGTAAATACTGCGACGACGCGGCACAGCGGTAGCGCGCTTGCTGCAGAGCTACGGCGACCATCGGTTGCGCCAGTTCACTTCCTGCCTGCCGCATTTCGCGCTCGTCTGTGGTTCCTCCTCCTGGCCACCTGCGAGTCGTCCTCTCTCTCTCTCTCTGAGAGCGAGTGAGCGAGCGAGTAACCGCGCGGTGTTACACGACAATCATTATCGTCGTTGCTGTTGCGTGTGTGGGAACCCCCCCCCCAACCCCCTCCGTGTTCAAGGATCGGCTGCGGCCAAACGTAGCGCCAAGTGCGGGCGCGGAGCGCGAGTGATGAAACGCTCACCGACTTGGCCATTGGCTTGGCCGTGCGAGCTCTGCCTCTGGAAGGAGCTCTTGCCCTGCGGGAGGTAAAGAGAAACGCACGGCGCCGTTGCGCACATCACGGGATGGTCCGTTGCCCGCGTCACCCGTAAAGTTCGCTGGCCAAGCGCGTTCCCATCGCCGCCAAAACGTCATCAGATCTTAACGCGATTGCAACAGTTGTGGGGTGATAGAATACCGGAATGATTTAGATGGCATGGGGGAGGGGCGTGCCAAGGTATGGAGGAATGAGCGACAGCGATCGGGGGGATTGCTTAGGGGGATCACGGAAGGGCTACCGGGGAGGGACGGAAAGGAGTGGAGGGGGTGTGGGAAGAGGGAGAGAATGGACAACAGCGAAAAAGGCGGGATTTAAGAAAGGATGATCGATTCCTTGACTTTTATGAGTCCATAATCGATTATTCTCATCATCATTACCATTGAAAATCGATCATCCACAAACAACCCCAGCAGCTAAAACTTCCCACCGTCCGGATTAGGAAGTCGCCGAAGCTCGCAAAATAGTTTTCAATCAGCTACCTGAAGAAGCCAACCCCCCCCGCCCCCCCCACCCATTTTCCACGGATCTCTCTGCCAAAAAACCCCAATCTAGGGTATAAATTAAAACTCACAAAATAAATGATCGTACAAATCACTTAACGTGAAGCACAACTGACGAACGATTCCGATTGGTTATTCTTGCGATTGAGAACGGTCACAAACGATCGACCGACCGATCTGTCACGCGCTCGGTGATAATAAAACTTTCCTGGCTCCCGCCCAGCAGGAGACTCGGCCCACTAAGCGGAAGACAGCTGCAGAGCCACAGCCAATCAACATCAATCAAACTCCGCCCCCGCCACTGTTGTAAAGATATGGCAACCACTGTACTGTAGAGGCGATCGCGTGGATTTCGGATTAACCGGAGCAACATATTTTTTCGGTTTAAGCACGTGACTTTGTAATAAACATCTCCGAGACTAGCAATGTTGTATAACTGTTTGCAGACGATTAATTTGGGCTTGAGGGAAAATCCATGAGTTTGTTCAATTAAATTGTCAAAATCACAGGTGCGCGGTTAAACCACAAATCGGTTTAACACGTAGGCTTTCGCGACCAATATTATTCATAATAAAGGTTTTTGGGTTAGATCGCGTTATTTATAAATGTGTCGTAACCCTCCACCACCCGACACGGCCAATCAGCAAAAAAAGTGTCACGTTGACAAAAGACAAATAATTGACTACTTTAGCCCACCGGTGTGTTGAAGAGTGAATCCACATTTATAGTTTGAGAACGACGTTTCGCTGGTAAATACATCCAGCATCATCGGGCAATTCGCCAGAATGGTAAAGCCCTCGCTTGCTCCCGGTTTTATATAGAGCAGCAGGGTGATGTCATCACTTAACTCATATCATATAAAGTGTTGTATACAAATACAGGACACCGGTGTGTTCGAGAGCTAAACCACAACATTTACAATCTGAGCACGACGTTTCGCCAGTAATCACAACCAGCTTCATCAGGCGACAGCCAGATTTGTGGAAAAATCCTTGGAACGAAACAGGAAGATTTCTCCACAAATCTGTTCTGATTACGCGACAAACCTTACTAGTTGGCTGTGTCGGGTGGTGGCGGGTTTTAACGACACATATATTTAAGCGATCGAACCCAAAAAACCTGCATTATGGATGATACTGGTCGCGAAAGCCTACGTGTTAAAGCACCTGTGAAGGCCGGCACGGCACACGAGGGGTTGGGGTGGCCAGCACCACGCACGGCCGCCTTTGTCTCCCCCGGCGGCGGCGATGTTTACACGCCCCCAACAGACACTCATTTGAGGCCGAGTCAACCTAATGGTAGGCCTGTCATTATCGGTCACGAACGAGAATCGAACTCTGGTCCTCAGGTTCGTGGCGCAGTGCGACAGCCACTACACAACCGCTCCCCGCGAGGACAAAGATCCCCCATATAGCCCGAACAGACTTGCTGGGGGCAAGTGCTGTTTGCAAGCAGCACCGGTGAAGGTCGGCACGGCACATGAAGGGGTGGGGTGGCCAGCAGCGAGTGTCAATGTTCACACACCGCACCAGGTACTAATTACAGGCCGAGCCGACCTAGGGGAGGCCCCATGACCGGTTAAGCCGAGCGGGAATCGAACTCGGGTTGCCGGGTTTGTGACGCAGCGCCAGAGCGATTACACAACCGCTCCCCAGACACAACAACAATAGCCGCCATTCGCCACTAAGTGGCGGTGACGTCACCACGACGCTTGTGCCAGGCTATGTGCACCCTGAGGCCACGTGAAGTGTCGAACGCCCGCTGGCAGGAGGTCACGGGGCAGACCCAGGTGCCACGGGTCGACTGACTGAGATGACTGGCTGATGCACCACCTGTGCCCCCTACTGTGCCAACCTGCTGTGCTTTAGCCACCCGGCGCTCCGCTCGTTGTTCTGAACGTCGTTTCTCCGCCCTCCGTTGTTGTTGGAGGGCGACTACCTCCAACTGCCCAGTAGCATCCTTCACGAGCCTCCTCCACAGAGGCCGATCTTGACACCGCTGGTACCAGTCATTGGCAAGTCCACTCAGCTCCACGTCCTCCTGTACCACATCACTCCATCTCTTCTCTAGCCCGTGCCGCGCCCGCTTAACCCCCTCAATCCGGCCGAACAAAAGCTGTTTCGGCATGCGGTGGCTGGGCATGCGGGCTACATGACCCAGCCATCGCAGCCTTGTCCGCCGGAGGAGCTCACCGATGGGACCTTGCCCAGATCTTTCAAGGATTTGTGAGCTCCTCACACAATCCAGTCTGGTTAAATCCAGGATGGATCGTAGGCAGACCAGCCTAAATGTTTCTAACCGGCGAAGATGTTCCATTAGGGGGGTCCACGTTTCGCAAGCGTAGAGAAAGGAGGGAATGACCGTGGCCGAGAAGACCTGAAGCTTAGTGCGGAGCGACAGACCAGGTAGCTTCCACACAGCGTTACGCAACCGATGAAAATATATTGCCGCTCGACTGATTCGGAGTGAGACCTCTGCTGTTAAACTGGAGCCAGTCATAAGCACACTGCCCCAGACACACACACATACACACACGCTCGACTTTAAACCCCAGGAATTCCATCACCACAAACACACACACACACAGACAAGTGTCCCTGGGTCACCCTCCCATCTAAATCACAATTTGATGCCGAGCTACACAATATATTTCACAACTTTCACTCGCAATGACTTTTCGCATCCATCCTTGTAACTTTTCACGCGAGTGCTACATAGTTGCCCTACATCTGTTTAATGTTTCTGTAACGTATTGCATTCATGCTACGATCGGTTTCAATATTAGTCTGCGCGAGCCGACTTACGCAGGAGAGAAATTATTACATTAGCGTCGATTTACGTTTTTGTTCAATACGTTCATTTCTCATGCGACACAGCGGCTTTCGCTAGGTTTTTAAAATCTTTTTATTCGCTTTCATCACTGTACAGGGACTCCTCTACTCACAAACAAGTTAGGTTCCAAAGGTCTGTTCATAAGTCGATTCATTCCTAAGTCCAACTTTACTCCTGTCGATTCAAAACGCGTTGTACAGCATGCACACTAAACACGGGGAATGGCTTTAAAAGTTGTATCATCTCCTGCAGATGTAGCTGCCAGTGGTTCTTAACGTTCTGCAGATGTAGATGCCACTGGTTCTTCATGTTCTGCAGATGCCACTGGTTCTTCACGTTCTGCAGATGTAGATGCCACTGGTTCTTCACGTGCTGCAGATATAGATGCCACAGGTTCTTCAAATTCTGCAGATGTAGATGCCACTGGTTCTTCACGTTCTGCAGATGTAGATGCCACCACCGCCATCTATTGCACCTCAATTGAAATTACGGCTCTCGGTCCGAACAGGCAACTCGACATACGGGGGGACAGGTTTTCATAGGTAGAGAAGTCCCTGTACAGTATTTTATTTGAGACTCCTATCCTGGTCTCTTGAGTTCTCACATGGGGGCCATGGTGGCTAGGAGATGTTAACTACCTCGCCTGGTACGCAGGAGGTCGCGGGTTTGATCCCGAACCTGACGCCTGCTGCTGTATATTTGGAGTTTGCGTGTCTCTCACTCTCTCTCTCCCCGTGGTCGCGTGGATTTTTCAATGGACCCTCCATTTTTTTTCCCCTCCACCTTTGGAATCGACGTCACGCGTTCAGAGTATTTGGCCACTGCGATAAATTTTCGCGGGATAATGACAAGCCACTTTGTCGACCCACCGTTTGTGATGGCCAGAGTTGCTTCAGAAAAAAAGAGCCAAGTAGCTCACAGTCGGGGGTGGGGGGGGCGGGGGCGGGGGGGGCCTCACCTGGTAAAATAAGAAAAATCAACTCGGCTCAACTCGCACCCAACGCACCGCTCGCAGACGGGGCCGGACGTGCGGACGCACCAGGGCTTACGCGCGAGCAATTTCACCGTCGGCTGATCGAGCCGCCAATAACAATGAGCTACGATTGACCATCGCTCGCCGCTTTGTTGGCGCAGGAATAACGCCCCGCGCGCGAGTTATCACCGCGCGCGTTTACGACCGGCGTGCGACGCGCCTCCGCCGCTCCGCTGGAGAAATTAAATAAAGCGGCGCGCGGATTGTACGTACGTGTACGTACACACGTACACGTACGTACACGTACACGTGCGTACAGGTACGTACACGTACACGTACGTACGCCGAACTGTACGTGGCCGACCGCGGCTAACCGGAGGTGCGCGCGCGTGGGTGGAGCAGGTGGGGGGGTGGGCAGGAAACAAAATTTAGCGCAAAAAAAGCAATTTTAAAGAAATGAGTTTGTCGGTGAAGGTGATTTGAAAGCGCATCGCTCTCCCCGTGTTGTCTGTGCCCCCACCCCGCCCGCCCGCCCCATCAATCAGGACGCGACGGGCACACGTGGCCTTGCGGATATTCGCGTGCGGTTGCCTTTTTGTTTTTTTGTGCCACCAAAACGTTCTTGCGTGCCGGCAAACAAAAACAAAAAAAAAACCTTCGAAAAAATATCTG